CCTTGTGGAATTCCATGCCTAGAATACGCTTAGCAATACTTAGATCTTTTATATTAAATTCAAAAGTAAGTTGAACTTTGAGTTTAATAATCTCAAACCTATCCTTAGCGGAAATAAACATGTCATCTACATACCGCACGAATAATAAAAACCAAAACTTGTGTTGCTAACATGCTTCATGTACACACAAGAGTCATATGCACTTCGTATGAAGCCATACGTATGCATGAACTCATCAAAACGTTTGTTTCATTGCTGGGGACTTTGTTCAAGTCTATACAAGAATCTTCGCCGTTATTTGATTGGAAGCATTTCAACTTCTTTCCAATTTGAGTCTCTGCTTGAACTTTCCACTTCTTAAAAGTGACAAAAACATCAAACTTGTGTGGAAGAAAGTAGTTCCACACATATCTTGAATAATCATCAACAAACGTAGCATAGTACTACTTTCCAGAATGTGATGCAACAGAAGAACCCCACACATCAAAGTGAACATACTCAAGAATAGTCTTAGAACTATGAACGCAAGTTCCAAAAGCACATCGCGTATGCTTTTCAAATACACAATACTCATAGAACTCAAGCTTGCAAGACTTCAAGCTAGGTAATATATTCTGTTTGTGTTAAATGTTCATAGCTTTTTTATTCATGTGGCCAAAACGAGCATGCCACAAAATGGTCTCATCTGCTACGACATCACAATATGATGTCGTAGCATTGGCCTCACTGAGAATTGTAGATCCCTCCAATATGTAAAGATTCTTTTGCTTGTGAGTTTTATTATACGTTGAAACCTTTTTCAACAATGAAAATTCCATTAACAACTTTGCAATCAAAGCCTCTCATGTCGATATTCTTGATTGAAATTAAATTCTTACGCTTACTGGAAATGTGTTTAACATTCGTCAATGTTTGTACTTTCCCATCAAACATTTGAATCCGAATGGATCCAATATCATCAATCTTACATGAGTGATCATTTTCCATTAAGACTTAACCTTGATATGTTGCATATGTAGTAAAAATTCTTGGATAAAACACATGTAATAAGAGCAAGCAAATTCCAAAATCCATTCATCTCTTCTAATGAGGGAAGAGGTTCACAAGACATAGCTTTCATCATTGTTGGTCACAGAGGAACCAACATATTACTCTCTCTTCGGTTGCGGCTTACTATGATAATCTTTTTTCATGTGACCTTGCTTGCCATACTTCCAACACTTCATCTCATTCTTGTTTCCTTTCTTTGACTTAGACCAATTTTGCGACTTGCTCACGCTATTGGATCGCTTATCCAATCTTGCACGAGTGACATAGAGGACAAAAGAAGAAGAAGAAATATTGAAGAAAGAAACCAGCTTTTGTTGGATGTTGTCCGTCAATAAAGTTGTCACTATCTCGTTGTAAGTGATGCTTTTTTTGTCTCGAAGAAGCAACACACGAGATAAAGTGTGATATGAGGCTGGCAAGAGCTCAAAAGCTACAATGTTTTTTTCACATCACTCAAATCAGCATCCAGATTTAAAAGATCCATCAACAAATCATTGAAAGCATCAATGTGGTTCTAGATCTTTGTACCTTCGACCATTTTGAAGCTCATCAGCTTTAACGATGTGAAAAGTCAATTTAACAACTCTTTCATGTGATACTTCGTTTGAAACACTTGAAACATAGTTGTCAGAGTCTTCAACTCTTCCACTTGTTTCAACACATTTGATTTCAAGTAGAGAATCACAATACTCACAACTTGATCTTGAATCTCATTTCAATCCTCGTCATCAACATTCATGGATTTCGGTTTGAGTAGCTTCCCAAATTCCATTGCCTTGATCACATTCTTGAGTTGCCGTTCTCATAGTAGATAGTTGGTACGGCCATCAAAATGTTCAACTTCAAACCTTGGTCCATCAACTTTAGATAGCGTCATAGGTTTGATCAGTCAATTCCAATTGATGGCGTTCCAGAATGACTTCAACAAGATCTTTGGAAAGAAAGCTTGACTTTCCATTTTTGTCGTCTGAATGTAGAAGTCCAACACCTTCTGCAACAATTGAAAGAAGTTTCACTTATTGCTCCAAGCTATTCATGCCCAAAAAGCGTTCACAATGTTAACAGTTCTCTACACTTAACGTCAAAAACTGTTGAAGAATGAAAATTCTAAGAATTGAAATTTGAGATCACATTCACGCGTATCTCACAAGCTAATCTTCTGGAATGTGAAAAAAATTTGTCAAAATCATCTCCGAGTAAAAAGTTATTAATTCCAAAGTTAAAGGGAATAAAAACTTGAATTTAGACCCCTCATGGAATCTTTACTAAAAAAAATTACACAAAGCATATTTTCCAAACCTTATCTTGTATTGCGTGCAGGGTTTGACATTCCCCCGGAAATCCCCTGGGAATAGATAACTTACTTCCGGAACAGGGGGTGAAACAGGGGGACAACCGGAGGAATCCGCTGGTGCACTCTTGCTAAGAGGGGGCTACACCCGGAGGATTTTAAGGGTTAAACCCGGGGACACCCGTTGTAAATGTCATTTTATTGAAAAAATTTTGGGAGCACTCACACGTAAATAGCGGACTCAATAGTTTTCAATCCACTGAGAACCCCCGGAAATTTTTTCCAAAAATATCAGGGCGACCCCGAGAAATCAAGAATGCTCTAGTCAAAACGTCGGGGCGTAGCCCGGACGTTTTGTGGCGCATTTCCGGGGTCACCCCGTGGTTTTGAGCCATGCCTGTCAAACCCTAATCGCGTGCTCAACCGGCTTGACAACCACCTTGAAAAATTTGAACTCAAAGGTACTTAATTTGCTTGGTACAATCTATTACAATTGCAAAAAAAAAACACTATATGTTTGATTCTTTTTGGTCATGAGTTTTCACATAAAGCATTTTCCAATGTGGAGCGTACGTGAATACCTTCTTTGGCTTTTCGCAGTTTGTCTCTCCAAATTCGCGTACTTCTTCATCATGCGAGTATCATAGCTGAATTTGATTTCAAACATTAAACGGCCATAATTTTGAGATCTCTTGATGAAATTCAACAAATTTCAGGTCAAAACAATCGTCTTAAAGAGCAGATCAAGCCTATGTATGCAAAAATCAAAATATAAAATGATGAAAATTTGAGATTTTGAGAAGTCAAAAAGGAAAGATAAGTTGCACATCTTAGCTAACCTAACCATAATTAATTTTCCGAATCATAATTATCATTAACTAAAGCTAATCAAAGATAGTGTTCACCTAACAATTATCTCAAAATGATAAAATAACTCTATTAAATAACTTTCACTTTTGAACATGTTCAGTATTTTTATACAAATATTGAATAATTCAAAAAATTATTTCTCTCTATCGATATCTCAATTTCATATGTTATGATATGGTTACATGATAATGTATTTTGATTCAATTAATGGTATTATATATGCACTGCATGCTAACCTTTACCAATTTTAAACTTGAATAGTAAGATAATGTACAAGTAGCTTCTTATTGAAGTCCAATGATGTTTGCATGATGAACTACAATATCAAATGAATCTTATTAACTTCATCTTGAGTGAATCGCTTACAAGCTCGATTTGAATTGTACTCCAAGAGTTCTAAACACATGATTTTGGATCTGTCACTATCATGGATCCAAGATTAGTGATCCATAATCCCTTTGTGAGAAGGTTTGAAAAACATTAACAAAATGGAGTTATTTTCGCTTATTTGGTCTATATGGTTACGAAAACTAACGCAAATAGATCCAAGGTCATTAGTTTTATATTTTCTTGATCCACCTTTCCTCTTACCAATCATTTTCAAAACATACCGTTCATGTTATATGAAGAGTTAAGACAATGATCAATTAAAGACTACTCTTCGAACATTGATTTGACATTACTTGTCTCCCTCCTTGCTCGTTTTGCTTTCCTTCCCCTCTGCATTCTCAAAATTTTCCTCTTGTACCTTGTTTTCAACAAATAATTGAAGGTTTTTTGGGTTTCTCCTGTGCCCTATCGTGTAAATTGGTTATTTTACTGCGATTGAGTTGTTTTGTTGGTGCTGGCTGTAACAAAGATATAGATGCTTCTCCTGTTTGGCGTGCGTTGCTGCATCTCCCGTACTGTATCTCGGTCAGGACATTTCATTGCGCCACTGCTGGACTGCACCACTTTACGAAGCAATATTGAACAATATATGTGCAAAGTATTGCGACTGTTTGGCCTTTCTCGGGTTTTTGAAGGCAAATTATGAACACAACAGATTCTTGATTCATTACATTGATCCGGGGTGGTCGCTTGAGGATGTTCTACAACTCCATGCGGTTCGCTTAACCGCAGTAGTTTGCTCATGCTGCGCATTTGGCATGAATATGCTTAATGCTAACTTTGTCGCTATGTTGCAACGCTGCAAAGCCAAGCCGAGGAGATCAAATCACCTCTCTCGTTGTGGGAACTTGACCACGATTTGCTCTTCACCACAGCCGCGAATGTGGCAAGTCTTCTATATCCCATAAACGGTTTATGGGATAACTTGGGTTTATGATAAACCCCAGTTAGCGGTCGCTAGACAGGAATTAACTCTATCAAGCCTTGAGGCCTTTGCAGCCTAGATATTCAGGATATCCAGGTGCCCTAGGACATAACTGACATTTTAATATGTTGGAGCTAGCTCATAGTCACCACTTTTGGTTTCATCCATGTAGGGCTCGATAGGCAAATTCATGTTTTTGGACCACATTTTGGGCCACCAGTATTTCTGTATGACTTCCCTTTTAGTTTCAAAATATTCTTGACACCCCATCACACGCGTGTGATGGCTGGAAGCTCCAAGAACAGGCGCCGCGTCACTAAAGGGAAGAATTTTTTGTTGGGGTTGCTTGGCCAGTTTCTTCGCCTCTCTGACACAAACGAAGCCTTGCCCAGCCAGGCACGAAACACTGCGGTTCGCCTGAAAACCTAGTGACAGTTTGTCCTAAAACCTAGTGACAGTTTGTCTTGGAACATGACCGACAGCTCAGTGGTCACCGTCTGTGCAGGGAGTGCGTCAATTGAACGGTGGAAGGAAATGATGGGAGGAAAGGGAAGGGAAGGGAAGGGGAGGGAGGAATCAAGCGGGATTTACACTGCTGAAGAGACGAACGAAGAAATGACAGACACAAAGATTCTCCTGCTCTGCCATGTTCCTAGGTGGAAGAGAGCGCAGGCCTTAGGGCTGAGCACGGAATCCTCTCCCAGAAGTGTGGAGTGAAGGGCGGGCGTAGGATTCGTAGCGGAAATAAAGCATGGAGGAGGAGGAGGAGGAGGAGTTTGTTCTGATGCTGTGTCCGGTGCGCGAGGTTGTTTATGGGGACGAGAGATCAGACTCCGGAGCAGTATTCGAGTCTGATGACTCAAACTCAGGTGCCCGAGTGCATCGTGTGCTTCCAGCCTTACGACCATACGATTCATGTCCCGCGCGTGCTTTCTTGCGGTCATTCCTTCTGCGAGCCGTGTTTGTATGAGCTGCATACGACCTGGCAGCCTTCGACGAGTAAAGCGGGCGAGGACCCGCAGTCCGGCGGTTTGTTGAGGTGCCCCGAGTGTAACTTCCGCACTAAGCTGCCTTTCGGCGGCCAGAAATGCCTCCCGAAGAATGTCGCACTTCTTCGCCTGCTCCCAAGTTCTTCGGAATCTCCTCCTGTCAAGAAACCGGCCCAATTTTTCAAGGGTCCGAGGTTTAGGAAATCGGATGGCGGAGCCAGACGTGTTGACGTGAGTGTACGCAATTCTCAGAGGAGGCAGAGTGGAGAGCCGAAGGAGAATTCGGACGCGCTGTGCGACACCACTTCTTCTACGCTGAGTACGAGCATTGTTAAAACTTTGCGCAGTTCTCTCCTTGGTTCAATTTTGCGTCTACAGCCTCACAATTTGGATTTCAGGGCGTGCATCCTGCCGCAGGAGGTGATTCATCTGAGAGAGGATTCCGCAGCCAGTTCTGATAGCAGACTCTTATACGGTGAATTCGTCCACGAGGATGACGGGGTCTACTGGAGGCTTGGTGTTTCATTGTTACGAATTGAGGTGCCGAAGAGGGAGTTTCCGAAAGTTGTGCAGACTCATGTGGACCGGAGCAAGGACAAGCAGGTCATTGAAGCCGAGTGCAGTAAGACCAGGGAGAGTTTGTATGAGCAGCTCGTGCTTGATCTTGTGGAACGGGTAGACCATGATACAAAAATTGAGATGTCTGTTATGTTTTTTTTCTCATCAATTTGTCATCGGGTCTGTAAGACCTTTGGATTATGGATGAATGACAAGGAGGAGCTTTATCTTGTGGGCGAATCCCCACAGAGCTCAGTAGAAGCCCCTTGGGATTTATTGCAACGATGTAGCACAAAAACCCGGTCCAGAGATATATCACCGGAGAACTCAGATGTGGAGAATTCAGTTGAGGAGTCCTTGGGAAAGTCTAATGGACGAGCAGAGTTGGAAGTATTGACCAGCATAGGTGTACGCCTGTGTGAGCTTCTGCTTGAAGTCCATGAAAGGGGACTCATGGTAGGTCTTTTGAGTCCGGAAAGCATCGCTTTTGATTCGTGTGACAACATGCTTCTTGATATGAATGGAGCTTTGGGAGCACGACTTCATCTACGTAATTGGCTGGTACATGTATCTACCAGCCAATTGGACTCCTCAGACGGTTCGGACTGCGACTCCCAGTCCGTCCACAACCAAGGGAGCATTCGGTATGATGGTCAGTGCTGGGAATACATGAGCCCAGAAGTACTTGCTTTTATGAGCAGCAGCAATTTGCTTCTCTCAGAGGATGAGTATGAGGATGTGTTTGAGTATGAGTCTGATGAAGCCAGTTGCTCTGGCGACCTTGTACCTTTGTTCTGCCTTGCACTTTCAGCTCGTATCAGTTGCAAAGCAGATGTTTGGTCCCTGGGATGTATAATTCTGGAACTGCTTACTGGAAAGTCTCCTCACGCAGGCTCGGATTGCACGGAGATTTTCGAACATGTGCTTAAGGAGCAAGGAAAGCCCAAGTTTTTTCAAAGTCTGGAATTTTCTGAGCATGGTTGTGATACCTATTCCTGCTTGGACCTGGATCATCATATATTGCAGAATCTGCTTGGGAGATGCTTCGAACACGATCCGAGCAAAAGAGCAGATATCTATGAGGTGCTCCAGGGCTTCAAGGAACTACAGCTTGCTAACCTTGCTTACAAGAGGATATTCCCTAAAATGGAAACAAGGAACGACGTCAAAACCTCAGATGAAGAGTACTGGATTCTTTGCTTACCTGGATTTGGGTTTAAGGGTTGGTTCGAATACGAACGAAAGGCAAGGGCACAGAAACACGTTAAGCTTTCTCAGGAGATCAGTGACAGTGAGGCCCTACAGGCAGAACTGTCAGAAGAAGCAGAACGTTTGCAAGAGTACGGAGATGAAGCTCAGAGAGAACCAGAACCTTTGCAAGTATGCTCTATGGAGTTAAAAGGATCGTTGGAAGGACATCGAGATTACGTTACAGCTCTGATTGTTAGTGGTAAGGCTTCGTCTACAGATTATTTCAAGGCTCAGATTTCGATGGGCTTTCTTCTTTCTAACACCTAATCTAAACATTAAGAGTAAGCAGGCGGAGATAAAATGTGCAGCATTATGTCAAGGTTGCTATATCTGATTTGTCTCTCGTTGTTCAGGAGATTATCTGCTCAGTGCTTCTTTTGACAAGACAATACGTGCCTGGTCTCTCGGAGTAAGCATTCTCAACTCATTATACATCACACAGTTTTGTACTTTGACCTTCTCTCTACCTGAGTTGCAAATACTATTTTCACGTTTGGATGGAAGTTTGATCCTCGGTAGTGGATCAAACCATGCTGAAGATCACTTTCTATCATATCTTGGATGAGAATGTCCTACCGAGCTCTAGAGTTCAAATCACAACTTGCTAGTTTGCTACACTATTTTCATATTCCTCAAGCACCCTCCCTAGCACAAGATCTTGACTTTTTCACGTCATACCAGCTTTTGCAGCAAATGCGTCATTTTGAGGTAGTTACGAAGTTGTAGTTACGAAGGAGCTGCTCCAAACATTGGCTATCGAGCATGATCGAGCATGATATTGACTGTTGTATGGTTCAATTTGGAACAGACCCAGCAACTTTTAAAAATTTTAGAAGGTCATCATACTCAAGTTGTACTTGCATTAGCAGTGGACCCAGTTTCCATGAGGTGCTTCAGTGGAGACAGTCTGGGCCACCTATGTGCTTGGCGACTTGAGGAGGAGTCCGAGGAGGCACAAACACCTTTTCTCGCATCTTGGCAAGAACACACTGATTGGCGATATACAGGTGTCGCATCGTTGGCAGTTTCAGGAGATGGAGTGCTCTACAGTGGAAGCGGGGACAAAACTGTCAAAGCTTGGTCATCTCAGGTGCTACTTAAATTTCCTTACAAGCTGATGAGTATGTTTCGAAGATAAGGCCCCATATTCCTATGTACATAAACGACATTCATCTAGGGCACGAAATCTTGTGAATTTTGTCACCTAGTCATTCTTGACCTGAACTTATAAGAGAATATACTCTGCCGTCATTCAGACTTTTGAACATCTTGGGACAATGGAAGGTCACAAAGCACTCGTCTCAACTCTAGTTGTCGATGGAGAATTGCTCTACAGTGGAAGCTGGGATGGTGTAATCCGGGTTTGGTGGCGTAATGATATAAGTCCTATGGCAGTGCTTGGTACTGCAGATCCTATGATGGGTGGGGTTCGAACACTGTGCTTGTCCAACGGCATGTTGTTCGCAGGCCGTGATGATGGCTCCATACAGGTGTGTCTCATTTCTATGTGCGTTTATTCCTCAATGTCGATTGCCCGTTGTGAGGGATCTTTTCAAGACGATATGATTGTCTTGGTCCCATTCTGTTCTTTTGTCTCCGAGGTCTTTTTCCTCACAACTTTGAACTTGGATTCGTGTCCAATTATCTTGATAGGATACATCTAGATGATATTCTATATTAAAGATATCTGGAAATATCGTAATTAACAAATTCATGTAATGCAGTGAACCCCTTCAGTCTAACTGCATGCCTTTGGAACAGGTGTGGCTGGACGAAGAATACATCACAGCAGTAAGAGCTCACCAGACTGTCGTCTCAAGTCTATGCGTGGAAGGGTCTTTTTTGTACTCAGGAAGCTGGGATCAATCTATAAAGGTAGGTTTGTCAGAGGCGAAATACATGGCACTCTTTGAATGTACTTGGCATAGGTACTTGAAGCTGCATACTACAGTATCGTCTGCTCTAGTCTGGTTATTTGGAGAGGTTGATTTGAACGACATTGGGTCTAGGCTTGAGTTTGTGGCAGTCTTCATCAATTGTGAAGGATGTTTTCAGACATCCTTCAAAGTAAGTCGCTTAAAAAAGTAAAGGTTCACTGAAGTCCTTTCGATTTCCTTTCGAGTCCATCTTAGGTCTTCGTTTGGGGGATGATAAAGTATGTAAGCTATTAAGTCAACCATCGAACTTTTTGTTGCGATGTTGACATAGATTTGGCGAATTGAGGAGATCATATCCAATCCTTTGCCTGTACTGGAGGAGAAATGTGGACCTGGCGTGTCAGCGGTGGTCTCTGATGGGAGCAACGTGTATGTGGCACTTGCAGAAAAGGCTGTGAAGGTATCTCATATGTAGCTTGTGGTGTCTGAGATGTAGAAGGTTGAAGTATGCAAGTCGTATAAACGGGATCAGCTGTAGAATGAACTGAGATTTTGATTTGAAGTGGGTAGAGATGATTGATATCTAAGGCACGATATATGTCACATAAATAAAGTAAATGAAGAAATGGCAGTTGTTCCTTTGGTCGGCGATACAGCTGTTAACACATGTTTTATTTCTCATGTCAGAATCTGATTTTCTTGCACGGTGCAGGTGTACTCCATTTTCAGCGATTATTCTGCTTCTCCTAGCCCTGCTGAACAAACTGAACAAGAAAAAAGTGGTAAACTCCAACCCTTGTAGATATAAGCAAGTGGAGTTTTTAATTCTGGAACAAGTTTTTGTTCATCCTCATTACTTGACGTGATGCCCATAATGTATTTGTTCTATTCTCAGCTATTCCTTCGTTGGCAGCTCAGAGTCCTCTAGACTTGCTTTTGTTTGTTGACGTGCACGTTGAAAGCATGCAACACACATTGAAGGCGTAGCCAAAACACTGTTGCCTTGCAGCGGTTGCAGGGTAAATGATCACATTGACCATCCGAGAGATGCCTGGAAGCTAAATAAGTATTTCTGGTCCGTCTGGCGATATTCAGAGCTACTCATCATGCTTTTACCTCAAACGACGAGCTCGTTTTTCATACATTCTGTACTCCTGCTTCATGTATTACAAATGGCGTTTCTCATAACTCAGCCCCTTGGGCCTCACGACATGATTTTCACAAGTCATATACAGGTCATATAAGCCCAAGGTGTGAGCGGATTGCTCTCGAGAGTATGAGCGGCGAGTTAACTTGGTGATTGTTCTTCTAGGCTTCAGGTCGACATCCCATATTCTCGAAACATGCCTCCCATGACGCATTCTATTTTACACCTTGTTAATATGCTTTACTTTCGGGAAGGTGTACATATTAGTCCGGTTCCTAGAACGTAGGGCGTTTGTGAGTCAACAAGCCGTTGTACAGTCTGTATAGAGTGTTAAACTACCTGGTATGGGAAATTTTACCCATCTGTTTTCTTACAAGTCACCGTCTCCGTAATGATCTGAAGTGGAAATCACACATTGTGTACAGCAAGATGTAAAAATGAACTGTCAAAGTTATCGTAGATATCAGCTTACAGAGAAAGAAATACCTGATTTTTTTGTAATTACATTTACTTTTTAAATTCGAAAAAGGTTTCCCTATTGTGCATATTGCGGGTGTGCTTATCAAATATTCTTTTCAGATGATCAGGTACGATATCCTGAAGGCCTTCTTTAACTCTAGACCTCATGACTGTTTCGGGAGTATTGACGTCTTCTCGTATGTAGGGACCTTACGGACCAATACCTGATTTTGTAGATCACTTCATTACACTTGGCAACAGGTAGCTGAAACTAGCTCTTGGAAAAGATTTGCTTTGAAGGGCTTCCACCTCTCATTTAATTTGAGTGTTCTCTTCCTTTCTTTGCCAACCTTGCTTATTTCAGGATCTTTCGGTACAGTATATTCTTTGTCCCACTTTAAGTGCGCAAAATATGGGAAAAATGGGAAAACTGGGAAAAAAATTGTAGTAAATGAACGGAGTACCTTCACTTGACATATCAACTTCGGTAACTAGGTTCAAAGATCAGTGGAGAACCAACAAAACAAAGAAGAAAGAGTTTTCTCCTAGGATGAGCAACAAGAATAGACTAGTCACAAGGAAATATTGACGGCGGTTCAGATAAGTCCGCCTATCTAGCTTGCGTATATTGATTACTTTCCTGTGAAACGTTTAAGGAGTTTGAGATGTACTACACGAACTACAGGTTCATCGTTAATCGTGTGGTTGGAGTCAAAATAGATGCTACTTAACTTTTTAAGTAGACATGATGTACGGGATTCTTGTTAGTAGTTTGTAGTAGCGTTTTACATCTTTGCGGGATTGTACGCGTTTAGGGTGAAGAATTCTTTTTTAAATACCGGGTTTACACAATTGATAATTTATGGTGCTGTGTTAAAAAACGCAAAAAAACCAGAATGATTCAGAAGATCAACTTGGAAGAATTGTACCATTTTTTGGCCGACAGGAATGGCCAAGTGAGAGAACTCGAGAGCTATTCTGAAGCCCCATGATACGGTAGCAGAAACTTTTGTACTTTTGTCAAATGATTGTATAACATTCATCAGAAGTAAATTTGCACAACCTTGTGGTCTTCTATCCGAAAATATTCATTAACCCTCATTATATCAGAAGGTGTTATGTAAATACTTGTAAATTCAGCCTTGTTATTATACTGGAAAAATAAATCCTCATCATCTATTCGTCAGCTCCAAATATCTTTATTGAGAACAAACCTTAGTAGCACAACTGTGATTGCAATACAGAATTCCGAAAAAATGATAAAAAAAACTTATGATTTAGATCTATCTGTTCCAAATTGATCCTCAATATAAGGCTTCCTCAAATTTTCTTGAGAATTATTCATCAATCTATTTATTCACATTGAAATATGTCATAGTTGCTCAAGATAATTATTTTATAATCTTCTTTCACTACCTTTAAATTTGGTTGCAATCACAAACTTTGATGAAGCAAAATACATGGCAAATTGTCATTAATACTTTGGGACGTTTAAAAGCTTCTTTGTGCATAGATTGACATGACAACAAACAATCAAAATTCTTAGAACTTCTATATATCCAACTTGAACTTGAGTAGTATTAAATGCACTTCTTCATTACAAATCTGTAGTTAAGAAAATCAAATACTTATGTAAGTTAAATATTGCAATAGAATGAATGTTTTCAATTCAAATTTTTTATATCACATATATAGTCTCTAAGTTTTCTATCATTGTTGGTCAACTGAATTATAACTAGCTAATTTTCACCATGAATAGGAATTAGCTTGGTCATTTATTTATGCAACTTACGTAATTTGCAAACGTATGATTATGAATTTTAAGTTTCATAACTCCAAGAATGATATTTACTTTCTATGATATGTTCATAAATGAAAAAAAATCATTAGAGAAAAGTATGATTTTTATCTTAGATTAATTTCTATGGATTGAAATTGAAATCATTAAAAATCATAATCTTTGTGATTGTTACAAAACTATCATTGTAAAACTATGTGAAGCATCAAAACATGCAAACATATCATACATCAACCTCAACATTTTATTTTTTTCTTATATAATTTTAAAATATCATTTCAATATGCATTTTTTGAATTTCCAATTGATATTTGTGAAGTACAATATAATTAAAATCTTAAAAATTAAAATTTTGTTTATGATATTCAAGCTGAATTAAATCTTTGTGAAATTTATACATACAATAAATACATATTTGATATTTAATATATATGCATATTTATTTATTTATTTATGAAAAGATTTAAAAATACTGTTTGATATCTGTTTGGATTTCCAAGTTACATAAAAAAAAATTTCAGTGTTTGTTTTAATTTTTATTAGAATCATTAATTAGTTATATACTAATTGAAAATTATTATTATTAATATAAAATAAGAATAATTGATGCTTTTTATTAAAAAAACGTTCAAAATCGATTGTTAAAATAAAGTATTTCATTCTAAATTTTTCTAGATTAGAGTTATCTAGAACTGAATAGTAATCAAAACAAGATAAAATAAAAATATGCTCAGACATTTAAAAAAATGACAGTAAATTTTACATGTGTTATTTATGCAAAACCTACAAAGTAACACAATGTTTACCAAAAAAATCAAAAGTAATAACTTTGATGAATGAATTAGCAAGGTTAAATACACCGTAAATCTTGATTAGTTATTCCTTTTGTCAACAACGACATCTCTAGTATAGTGAAATTTGATGTAATTGTGTTTCATTCTATTGTTCATCATTTGATTTGCAACAAGCTTAATTCTATTTTGACAATCACAATGAAACAATATCACATTTCAATTTACATATAAATGATAAGCTTATGTAACCACAAAGCTTACTTTGTTATTTCTCATGACGTTAAATATGCAATTTCAGTTGTGAATTTAGCTACAGAGTTCTCCAATTAATGCATCTATCATCAAGATAAACACATATTTAGTTGTAGATTTTATATTTTTTTGACGTTATTAATTAGTCAAATGCAGATTAAATGTACTTGTTTTGACTCAATCGTAGTAATTTTTCCTCCAAATCTCTATGAACATACATTAATTTTATATATACAAATTGTTCATCTTATATGCTAATATTATTGCATCGTGTCACAAAATATGAAATCTTATTATTCTAAGTTCACAAATGACTTGAATGAGGAGATAGTTGATAGTCATTCTCTTTATATACGGATATCACATGACAGATTTAAAAGATAAAAAAATAGAACATTTATGTAAGTCCTTGCAAAGAAGCACGAAATGACAATTGTGAGATTTAAAAATCACAGCTCCATAAAAGTTGGCCAGACTTGCAGAATTACTGGATCGATCGTTTTATTTTCAAGGAGTGACAGAAATACCAAGGTTTTTGTACATTAAACTTGGCATCAAGATTGAATGCAAAAGAGTTTGTAGTGATATCTTCACATCTTCACAACAAGATCATCAAGTAAAAACCTACTGCAATAATTAAAATTTAAGGTTCCATTATTCATCAATTTCAAAAGAGCTCAAATATATTCAATTAAATGGATGAAATATAATCCATAAACATCATGAAACAAATAATTTTTTAATTTATGTCAAAACTTGATACTAAATGTATTTCTTGAGTTTAAAGATTTTGAGCAAACATCAAAGAACTTATATTTTTTCAGCATTGTTGCAAACAATTTGAGTCCATTCAAAGGACTTAGAGTACAATTGTGAAATATCAGAGAAAAAATCACTTTATGAATGAACTTTGTTAATACTGTCAAGAACAAGTTATAATCAATGAGGCTTAAGTTAGTTCAAAGATAAGTAAATATCAATAACCAATTTTTATTAAAGGATCATCAACATGAAGTAATAGAGGATATATAAGGTATAAAATATAAACTAATTCATTTATTTTTGAAGATCATGATAGTAAAACTTAGAATATTATGATAATAGTTTGATCTTGAAAAAAAAATCATCATTTTTATGAAAAAATTTAGTTTTTTGTCAATAAATTGTAATGAAATATTGGTTAGTAGTTTGAGATGCAGTAGTTGATTGAAAGCAAGACATGGAAGCCAGCGAAACTAACAAAACATCAACCTTTTGTTGATAGCAAATGGATGTACAAGATAAAGTAAAATCTAACAGATAAAAAAAATTGCATCAAAATCAAGTAGATAGCTAATAATTTCACACCTAAAATATGCAAATGAGAAAAAAGATTTTTCACATGTTTTAAAATTTGTTAAAATATGAAAGATGTTTACTTTCTAAAATATATAATCATGTTATGAATAAGTTTTATGTAGTCATATCAATTTTTTATGTATTTTTACAGGAAAAAATGTACATGAATTAACTAGTTGAATTTGAGAAGACATTTCAAACTTAGTTGATTTTAAGATTGTTGAATTTACACATAGATTGAAGTATATGTATGAGGATTGAAATGTAAGATTTGAAGAATTTATGAAACCACAAGAATTTTACGGAGTGGATTATATCATATGATCCACATGTAGATATGAAACATGATGAATATGAGACAATAAACTTCATTATTTTAGTATTTTATGTATATGATATGATTATTCTGCCTGACTATCAACACAATGTTAATAGATGCAAAATTAAATTAAAATTTGCATTCAAGTTGATGAATTTCAATAAATTTAAAAGCATATTATGTATGGAGGTTTATGGAAATTTGGAGAAGAAAAAACTATGATCAAGTCAAAACCTGTTTATTCAATGTCTAATTAATAGATTTAACATAGTAGTTTTCAAAGATGTTTGGATTTTTTTACAACATATTTTTAGGTTTTTACAACTCAAAGTATAATCAATGCCATTTAGACATCACAGATTTCATCAAATTTTTATGATAAAGCAATGCATAACCTTATATATTTGATAATATACACTAGACATAATACAAATGCAGTTTTTATGAGATGCATTATAATGATTTGCTTACAAAGTACAAATATAGAATACTAGCAATTTAGTTATTTTGTATAGTTATAATTCGAAATTTTTTCCATTCAATGTGTAGTTGATGCTTTCAAAAAGTACAAGATGTTATCAAATTTTTATAACATGACAGTGTATATAATAATTTATTTGATGACGTGCATTAGATCTTATCTAGCTATGAGTAAATCAAAAAGTCGCATTAGAAAGTTGTGAAGTGAACTTTCAACAACAAAATATAGTCTATTTGATTAAATAGACTTGTCAATGAGATAAGATTAAAAGAAAAATTCAGTCTTCATTGTGATAGTTAAAACACATAACATATTATATTATATCAAATCAAATGATGAATCACAGGTGGAAGCATGTTGAAATCAAATATTCTCTTATCAAAGATGCAGTTTTTGATAAAACAGTTGAACTTGTCAAGATGTATAATAAATCAAATTTGAATCATGCATTGATCAAAGTTAAATTTTTAACAAGTTGCATGAATCATTGTGTTATTTTGGATAAGGAATTAACATAAAATTTACAAGCAAATTTTTATCTCTAAATATATTTCTATTTTATTTTGTTTTGGCTACAAACTAATTTTAATTAGCTTTGGTTTATAAATAAGCATATGTGAGATTTCTTTTAAAATTATGGCATAGAATAATTATATAAGAAAGGAAAATCATGATTGCAAAGTCATGAATGAAGAGGAAACATTTTAGTTATTAATTCAATTCTTGCTTTATCTTTAGTGTGTTTTCGCTGCTAATGAATTTAATTGATTTACATTATATAAAAAATTAATTGATGCTTTCAGTGATACGATTAGAACATTTTATGAGTAACATCAGAGTTATTGAACTGAATATAGTACACACTTGTGAATGTGAATGTTAGAAGTTCATATTGAATTGATTTGAATTGATTCAGGTTAGCTTCAAACCAAGTTAGTTAAGCTAGTTCAATCGTCACTATTTAAAGGTATCAACCTGTAAGATTCATAGTTGTGTGAGTATATTATATGTAAAATTAATAAAATATTATATTTAGTCAATGTTATTTTAGAGATAAATTTAGCTAGTTATTATTAAATTTACTTATCACTAAATAATCAATATATTTTTAAAAATTATGGATGAGTAGCATTTTTCATCAAAATGTAGATTTCAATGAAAAATAACTTTGATTGATTTTACTTGATTGTAGAATCATTATTGCATAGATCAATCTAAAATTTAACCAAGTGAAATTTCTAGAAATTTTAAGATTGCCAATAGCATGTACTGGTCTTAAGTTAGGGACAAAGATGCTTCTAGAATATCTCAATAGACCAATAACATGTTGCAATGTAAAATACTTCATGGAAATTAGTCATAACTATCAACATTATATTTAATGAAAGTAAATTAGATAATTATTTTTATAATTTATCATGCTAATAAATATAAAAATAGAGAATAGAGAAATTTTTGAAAAATGTTGATATGAGGACTAAGTATCTTGAAGAGTCAATGAGAATAGATTCTGAATGATGAGTATGAGATTGTGTGAAAGTATACTTAACACATGGACATGTAGATGAAGACCAATCTTTTAAACTCATGATGAGTATCCAAAAAGATATATAACTAAATCTAAATAAAGTCAGTTTGGAGGTCATAGATCAAAACTCTTAACTACACTTTTTAAAAATATAATTCAGTTTCTCAACCTGAGATGTTTAGTCAATGTAGCCTATATTGATGAAAAATTATAGTAAAGTGTGTTTGATTGATTTTTGTGCTGACCCTTTGAGTTTTGCTTAACAATGAATCTTGTATTATATTTGTTGGCTGTCCATTTGTATTCCTTTCTTGGAGTGAATGCATGTTTGCTTGTGTACATAATTTTACACTTACATAATATATAAACATAACGGGATCTTATTGAAAAAACTAATGGAATAATTTCAAACATATAAAAATTTTGTTGAATAAGTCACATCCTTCACATGCATGTTGTGCTAAATTTATCTATGTTTTAAATTATGTTTCAGAATGTGTCATCATATAATTAGATGACATGATATGAAATGAGATAATCCATTTGATATCGTTTGTTTTGCAATGTACTTTTGTACATGATTGAAAATGAAATAAAATGTTATAATATTTCTAAATAATATTTGGATGCAATGAGTAATTTTTTTTGCAGTACAAGATTAATAAATATAAGATGAAAATTTTTTTTTTCCTTTGATATTAGAGTGATGGAAATGATTATTATATAGATAAATTTCATTAAAATGATACTTCTAATCAAAATAGCAAGAACAAATTTGGTGTACTTTTACAAGAATTTTATTTTTAATTTTTTTTCCCAATAATATTGATAGACGATTTCTTAATAATCATTGTAATTATAAAATTGGAAGAAGTATTTCCATAGAAGAGTATTATTTGTTAAACTTAAGTATGTACAAGAGCATGAAGCGTACGAACAAACCTAAACACATGAAAAAATATTAAGATCAAGCTAAGAATGACTGAATTGTCTATTTCTGAATTTGAAGTATTTGATAAATGGGATGTTTAAATTGTGTTAAAAGATGAAGTTATGTTACATACCGTATAACTTAGATCTCGGCAGGAAAGATTTTAACGTCCTTCATACGGTGATTATCAATGAAATCGAAATATTAAAATAAATTTATGTATTTAAGATGCTTAGAAAATTATAGAACTAATATATATACAATGTCTACATTATTATACTCTAGGTTGAAGGAAGAGAGGAGAAGAAAAATGTGAAAAGCAGATATTCATACTCATCTTGATTCCCTGACGTGGAAAAGGTCGTCAGGAAACAAAGATCTCCAAACATCTGATGACTTCTTCCGAAAGTGAAACTCGAAAGTAGTGGACACAACACAAGTAGAAGACACACCGCCAGTTCAAATATGGTGTCCATCCGCACCAAGAAGTTCGGTAAATCTATGTCCACGATCATGACGCAAAACTCCTCGAATAGAACAACTCGCTCGCCACATAAGGCAGCCACAACCACATGTAGGCGACACAAGGCAGTCCTTGACGCGTCATTCACCTGGTACGTCTGATAATCTACAACCAGGCGCGACCACGTAGACCACTTCCGGGTAGTCGACACCCGTCAATAGCGTGTCACCTTTTTGTTCCATATCGATGTATCTTATCATGCATCTCTATGTTCGTGAATGCTATTCCATGGTCTGTTTTACTGTAAACTCAAGCTTTATTGACACACAAATGATCACTTCAACGGTGGTGAATCAATGGCAAACCAATTCATCCTTCACACACCAGGAACCAGGTTCGGATCTCCCTCACCAAAATATCTTTCCATCACCAAGATCTATGTATGTCATGTAAGAGTAGCAAGTTTCCTTGGCAGAATTTTATTATAGAATTAATTTTGATGTACTTTGTTCTCAGCATAGTAAATAAAGAATGATAATATTTATTGGTATGATATTATTTCTTGAAGGCATTGATGTGTCTTTTAATTGACCTGATTTTTTTAGTGAAAATTTAAGCATCTTATATGAAAATGCAATAATATGATGAACATACCATCATATGATTGTATCATTTTGAACATGCCATATGAAATCGTATGCAGAATATTGACAAGAGGACTGGACTATAAGGTTTCTGATTGGTTGTCGATTTACATGGAACAATATTTAATCGAGTGTACCGCATTGAATGCCTCGCCACGCGGGCACAAGCAGCAGGTGTCAGAAGAACGATCGAGTGGTTGACGAAGCAGAAGAATCAAACTTTAACGACTTTCAGAGCGAAACTGCGGGCGCTTGAACTTCTCAGAATCTCGAATCTTGATCTCCCCGGGAGGCCCGAACGATAAATCTCGTCGCGGCTCGCCACCTTTCCCAGAACGGAGCTCGGGAATCCGGAAGGGAGCAAAAGAAGAACGAAAAGCGCGAGTCGGGCCGCGGGACAATAGATTCACAGCCCAGCCAGCCACCGGGGCGCCACGGCGGTTGGCGGCCGCGTGTGGTGGCGGATGGGGGATGTGTGGGGAGGCGAGAAGAGGGGGGAGTGGTGGATAGAGGGGAGGGGACATAATGTTATCAGCAGCAGAACAGGTCCAACCAGAGAAGATTTTCCTGTTGTGCGCGGGTCAGCGACCGAGGCAACGAGAGAGAGAGAGTGATTGATTGTTTGATCTCGGGGAGACTGTCTATGGCTGTGCTGCCTCCCGGCCAAAGCGGGTGGTGGAGCAGTAGCAGCAGCTCGCGAGTCGCCCCCTGCTGCCTCGAGTTTATCCAAACTCAGCGTGACACGCACTCCCGCGTCCTTTTCCCCGCACGTGCGTCTGAACTGACGCTCACGTCTGTTCGGGATAATTCGCCTGTCATTACTGGTCATTACTACCCTCGAAGGTGGTGTTCGAGTTTCAAATTCGGCTCGTGGTCTTGATCGTATATAACCATCCGTGCTGTTCGTCTACGGCCGGAGCTCAGAGTTGCTGCCCCCTTGTGCCGTGGATTTTGGCTCGGGAAGGACGTAAGTGCACTGTCGGAGAGCTTTCTGCGTCGAAGTCGTGGACTCTTCTTGCGTGGAGGCGTGGGTTTGGAAGAAGGAAAGAAGGAACGAAGGAAGGCGGGCTGAGACGCAGGGCAAGAATGATGGACAGACCGAGCTGGGAAGCATTGAAGATTTAGCGCAGGGAGGCCAAAGAAGTGGTGCATGGTGCACCGGATGAAGCAGAGATTGTGCGCGTGTCGATAGATTGGGTCTGGAGTGGACCGGGGTGGGCGGGCAGAGAATGGAGAGCGGGTTTTCGGCATTTGGTTAGGCAATTGAAAGTTTCTCGATAATGATATCAGGGGAGGAATGGGTGGCGAAGACGGCTGGATCAGCCACCTGGGTTGCTCTGGCTATCGTGATCTGCTGTTATCTGCTGCGCCTTCTCATTCGGTCCGGCGTCACATTTGCTGTGTTTTCTTACAAAGCCAGGTGAGCTCCTTTTCGTTTGCAATTGGCGGTTGGCTTCAATTCGTGCTCATTGGTATGAGTTTAGTCGAACCGATTGCTTGAGCGTCACTTTCGTTTTGTCTTGATGTTCAGGTGCTTGCGGACTTATGTTATGGGATTAGTATGATTGAACATATCGAGTTTTTATTTGATTGCGCTCCCGCTAGTTCTCTTGTTTTCTGATGTGCACCTGTTTTAACAAGTTTGGTCGAATTTCACGGTTTATTAGAATTAGTGTTTGTGCTGACGTACGACCGCTAAATCTGCTTTGTCAGTGCACCCACACCCGAACGAGTACCTGAAGTAGTCAATCAAGTTACTATCACCGAAGAGGATCTGCGAAAACTTATAGAAAATTTGAAAGGAAAAGATGAAGTCGGCGAATCGCCTTGGGAGCCCGCTTTCCAGAAGAAGACCAAGACGATGTCTTATGTTGCCAAGCGCCGGGATCCGAAGGTAGGATTTGAAGTTCTCTCGCTATCGCCGAGGAAATTGGTTTCCTTATCAATTACGCTTCCCTCTGAGTGATTTCGAATTACGCAGGGTCACCTTCAAAGTTAGGGTCTACTATTTAACTGTTGCCTTTTCGGATCTCATCTGTGGAAGATGGGACGTTACTTTGCCCTAGGCGTTGCTCGTTTCTGAGTTAGAATACACTTGTTTACATCCCTGCTTTCTTGAGTTCGCCCTGTGTATTGGACTCGGAACATCTGGAAAGCTGCTGGCCCCAAGCTTTAAGGTGTAGATGACAACTTCATCAATTTTCTTGCCAGGGTGCGTCGCTTTGACCTTCACTTAACCACATGAATCACTTCTACTGAACGGACCAATTGGTATAATTTTTACAGGACGGTGGTCCCACTCAGTATCTGAGCTGCACTATTTTTGAGAATGTGACGAGCGAGCTGGTTCGCGATTTCTACATGGACAATGATTACCGAATGATCTGGGATAAGGCAGTTAAGCAGAGTCAGCAGTTGGAAATCGATGAAGCAACAGGGGTGGAAATCGGGCGCAGCGTGAAAAAATTTCCATTTTTCGCACCCAGAGAGTACGTCCAGACTTGGCGTGTGTGGGAGGGGAATGACAAGACGTTCTATTGTTACATCAAGGTGATCTGAAAGTCAAGCAAAATGCGCTGGTTGCCTTTTCAAGTGAAATGTGTTGTGTTTCCTGTGTTCTGGTGTTGTCAAATTATCTCCTGAAACTGGAATACTCCATGTGTTGTTAACAATCTCAAAATATCTCTGTGTGGCTCAGAAATGTGAGCACAAATCATTTCCAAGGCAGCGCAAGTTTAAGCGTGTAGAGACTTACAATTCGGGTTGGAGGATACGAAATGGTGAGCTTCTGGGCCAGCATTCAAGCTGTTTATGAAGACTAAATTACTTAGGAGTCGATGACATCATGAACTGTGAAAGATGAGTCTACTGACAATGTGGCATTTTGTGACGTTTTTTTTGCTGCAGTGCCAGGCAGAAATGCTTGCGAAGTTACGCTCATACATCAAGAGGATTCGGTATCGGGGAGGGAGCTGGATAAAGCGGGATTTGGTAGTGGAATCTGGAACTTCATGGTAAAAATGGAGAAAGGTTTGCGTCTCTTTGCCCTGACATCGCGTACCCTCCATCAAAGCAAAAACGCGGTTTCCCTTGCGCAAAAGGTAAATTTTTTCAAACATTATTCTTCAGCCGAGATAGCACAAGCAATCGTTGCTCTTTTCGGTCTTCTTAAATGCACCTAATAGATGGATTAAAACTTCAGCACCAAAATCACTACTTTACACGCCTTTAAGTGTTTGTACTGCTAATTAAGTCGATATGGTGCAGGTGCCAACACATCTGGAGGAAATTATGGATGAGTCGTCTAGCTCTGATTTGAGCCCTTTGGGAGAATCAAGCTTGTCCTGTTTGACAAGAACCAGGTCTAAAAGACAACTGGCTAAGGGGCTTCTATTACTAGGTGGTGCTGTGGTGGTCATGCGTGGATCCTCTTCGGTTGGAGCAAGACTTGCTGCTGCTTGTATTGTAAATCGGGTTATCAGACCACAAAATTCCTTGACCTCGCTACTTCGCAGATCTCCATCTAAATCCTTATGAGACAAGAAAGAAGCCTTAGTTTCTCATTTAGAGCGATAAAATCATCTCGGTACAAAGAGATGTATGAACACTTGTAAGGGAGAATGTTGCAAAAGTGCCTTCCTTCTGGATTTTGGTAATCAACGAAAGTGCGTTGTCTTCCGTCTAGCAGTCTCGTGTTGAAGTTGTAAGACTGCGTTTTAAAATGAATTTCGAAGGAGTGGTTCATGTCAACGGCTAGTCGAATGAATTAATGTCGGTCTCTTTTGAGATTGACAATTCGGCCAAGCTTGTCATGGTTCAGATATCTGTTCTGAGTATTGTAGATAGTTGATAAACTTTAGAGTGGACTCAGAAGTGAGCCACCCGAATAGAAAGTTACGGCAATATACGCATTTGATCGGTACATCGTAGGTTGGCCAGCGTGAGGGAAATCGTAGAATGGATCGTTGTTGACATGCTCACTTTTATTAGACTCCTACGTGAAAGAATACTTCTGAAGGCAATTAACTGGCGACGAATGCACGAAGGCTACCCAGGTTGTAGTGGAGGTGAGGTACCTATTCAAGTTCGTCGTTTCGAAGGACCCGGGTATACCAAAGCCCTTTTACTTGTGTTCTTCGCCGGTCTTCGGGATAGGAGTTTGGGAAATTGAGAAATGTTTTTTCTGCTGGAAGTAGTTTTCTGCTACACTCTGCAGTTCACGGATTTTTTTCAGGTTCTTCCCTGTCTGCTTTGTAAACTATTAGTTGGGCAAGATCGTCCAAAGGTTAACTAAGATTCAAGTTCTATTTTAGCGAAGACTAGACGTCTACATATTTTTCTCACGCTTAGAAAACTTTGGAAACTGTCCGACATTGCATATGTATTGAGTTTTGAGAACTGTGGCTAGCGTGTCACTTCCTCTCAACAAGAAGGTTTACAGTTCTCGAGATTTACTACCCATAAAAACTTCTTGCAAATTTATCTAGTGTATAGTTGATTTCATTCACGCTGCACGCACTCGAGGGATTAGATGCGACGCACGGAATGAAAGTGTTTTTTGATTCCGGACAGTAATGCTACTACATTTTTGGATGACTATTAAGCAAATCTCTGAGCAGTGATTATTCTGACCTCATTGACGAATAAACATGAAAACCTTCTGCATGAGGTTAACCTTCCAGTGTTTTCCATGCCAATCCGTTTACATTAAAATGTTGTTTGAAGATTTTTAATTTTCATAGATTTTAATTTTTTAATTTTAATTTTTTAATTTATACAGTGTGTAGTCGTTTTGTCTTGTGTTTATGTTACTAACGGTTGTTAATTCTCCCTTCGAAAAAATTGACTAAGAGCTCATTGTTGTGAATTTCATGATTGATCTCGGCAGTGCTAAATTTTTGTGAATGAAACGTTACAAGATGGAAACGGCCATCATTGTTGGTTTTTGAAAGTATAGTCAACGGCAAAGTCAAAAACACCATTTTTAGAAAAAACAGATTTGGAATTCAAAATGTCTTAGACATCATTGTAAAAGATTTCTTTATAATTTTAAATGTTTGATTTACTTCCGCATTTCACTTGAATTTGTTTTTGCAAGTCAATCAGGTTAACTATCTAAATCTTCTTTGACTACATAGATATAAACTCTCTATAAATGATGTAGCACAAGAAAATTGACTTTGGATTGATGGAAAATGCATTTTTCCAGTTTGATTTATAATCGAGATTGATGTACTCTTCTTCATTCTTAGAAAAGATCAATATGTTGTGGAGAAAACAAACAACAAAAATTGTCTAAATATTCTTGAAATACATCGTACATAAAATGTTGAAAGATGATAGGTGCGTTGGTAAGACCAAGAGTCATGAGATTGTATTCAAAGTACACATCCAATTTGAAATGCCGTCTTTCATTTGTTGTTTTCCTTTGTTACGTTTTAGGTTGTAAGCTCCACAAACATCAATCTTGGTGTGAATCTTGGTTGATTGAGTTGGTTATGAAGCTCTTTAATAAGCAATATTGGATTTCGGTTCTTGATGATGACCTTGTTTAATCCACAATAATCCACACACATTTCAAATAAGTATTCTTTCTTCTTGATAAATAAGATACAAGCTCAAGCATGTGACTTGGAATGTCAAATGAAGTTCTTCCTAAGATTATCATCAATGTAATATTGAAGTGCGACAAGCTTTTTTTGAGAAAGGCCGTAGATTGGACCAAAGTAAGATTAATCACCTTCTTGGAGTTTGATGCCACAATCATAAGGTTGATGCTGAGTAAGTGTATGAACATACATCTTTTCTTTATACTTTTCATACTATGCTAGTAATTTGATTGATTCTTGAACAGCTTGAAATATCAAAATTCTATAAATTGCAGACATATTTTCATTATTGACAGTCTTCATAAAGGTTTAGACACCAATCACTGATAGAACTTTGATCTCATATCCTTAAACTTGGTAAGAACACATATTTAAAACAACTCTAAAGTTTCTAAACAAAATACGAAATACTTTGCAATGTCTGCTAAAGCTGGGTGTGTTTGTTGTTGCAGTATTTGAAATTTTATTGTTGTTATAAGAGTTTATTTCTCTCAAAATGTTGTATTGATTTCTTCCAAGAATTGATGAATATTTGCAAAAAGTGAAAAATCTTTCTTCAATATTGGCAAAAATCAAGATTACACAGTGATACAAAAAATTCAACTTGCGATTTCTGTCGCGTATATGTGTGATTAGAGACAAAAGACAAGTTTTACTTTATTGACAAAATCTTGAAATTTGTAGAATCTTTGTAAAACTTCCTTGACAAACTCACTTGAAGATCGTTTGGCATTTGTGAAACTAGATTTGTTGCGGAAACTGGAACGTGGATTGAAGTGCAAACAACTTGGAAATGTTGCATGACATCTTCTAGTATATCAGGGATTTGGATACCAATAGCATCATATTCAATTTGATCAAAAGTAAATTAGATTTTCCAAAAAAACTTCTCATCTTGAATAGCAATGGCAGTTTAGCAAGATGATCTTGGGAATCCACAGTCCATTGCAAACAACAAGTATCCCTCAATTGTAGCTGATTGTTGTAGTTGTTGGAGCATGACAACCACGTGCATTTGGATGTGAGAAGCGTCATTCATCTTGGAAGTGTATTTTCTACAAACTTGTGAACAACCGTTTGTAGAAAATACACTTCCAACAATACTTTTCAAAACTTAGAATAACATTCAAAATTCCAAAATTGAAAATAGTAACATGCGAAGCAAAAAAGATGAAAGTAGTTTTGAGATGCAATATTGATGTTGAAAGGTCAAGTATAACTAGTGTTATTGAGAGTGAAGGAAAATGTCATGTAATACCGCTTGTTGTATATCTAAAATAGTAGTAGAATCAGGTAAAGAGTTAATCATGGTTAGCGTAATTATAACTTAGTCTCGTTAATCATGACTCAATTTTGTTATGAAATCTATACTTGATGAAATAAATAAAATAGGTATAGAAGATTTGAATGAACACTACTATTTTGTTTTCAGTCAAAGTCTAGATTCCAAGGAGAGAATACTTTGATTACATGTTAGTTTTGATAGGTCTATTGTTTAATAAAAATCTTATTGACTAGAATAAGTCTAATGTTGATTTAGTGGCAAGTGGAGGTTCTAGAACTTTGAAGGTCTCAGATGACATATTGTCACCTCAATCTAGGAAAAAAAAAACTTCTAGAAGATTTAGTTAGATTAATGATATGTTTCCACGTATTAAAAACCAATCAAACATACCATAGTTAAAGTATCCTAAAGTTTATCCTAGTAAAAGTAATTTAGGAGTTATTTACTATGGATTATTATGATAATTCCTGAAATAGTATATATAAAAAGGTAGAGACGAGACTCTAAAGCAAGTTTGAAGAGTTTATTGTGTAAATATATATTTCATTTATATAATGGCAAGGATTACACCCGTGAAGTGGTCTCGGAGTTCTCCATTGACTGCAGCTCGTGACGGAACCTTTTGGAACACTTTCAGCTATGTGTACACATGTTTGTGGAATCACGGCAGCAACACATGACGGAACCTTCTAGAATGCTCTCAGTGACGTGTGCACGTAACGATAGAGCCACAAAAACATAGATGACGAAAGTCTCTGGAACTCTCTTAGTGACGTCTACACATAAAGATAGAGCCACGATAGCAATTAGTGAACTTCTAGAACCCTCACAACATGTATATAGATCAACAGTGAACTTATAATAGTACTTATGCTAATTGAATCTTTTTATACTAAGAAAGACTCCGTAGCTTTGATCACAAATATCGACTACAAGCCTTGACACTAGATTTGATCCATCAATAGTGGAACACAAGGGCCATTGACAGCACTACTGGAACATAATGGCCATTGATGGCAATACTAGAATTAAAATGAGAGAACCGGGATCAAACAGCATGCCAAATGCACTGCTTGAGTGATTCTTACATTATGTTTGAGAGAAGCAGAGCCAAGAGGCAGCTATCAAAAGAAGGAGCGTTTATGGATAACGGACGAAAAAAACAAAGCTAGGGAGGTTTGTTTACACTTGATTCAAAACAAAAATAAGTTGGAAAATACTATTTCCTCGCTCTTGGAATACTATGGGGAAGATGATTAGGATACTACGAGCGATGATTAGGATCCCTTCTCAGCCGGATTTTGAAGCCTATTGCTTGATTATCAAGGAAGTGGATGACCGTTTACGAGCCTACAAAGCCCAACCGTCTAGATCTAAGGACCAAGCTACTCCAAGAGCCTCTTGATCTACCTAGAAACAATCAGCGGATGATAAATGGGCATCTACAGACACAAGGTCTTCTAACGGACTGAAGCTTGCTTGTAAAACATCCGTTGAAAGCATGGATTGAGACTTGACGTTTGTAAAGGCCACGATGACTAGCACTAAGCGTGCAAAATGGGCCTCACTGGAGGAACAAGAGGATAGATGACAAACAAGACGATGTATCCGTTGCGATGCTTTAGGCCACATGATCCGCGAATGTCCTTACAGACGCTTGCTATGGTCTGTGACTATAGGCTTGGCTCACAAAGGGAAGAAAGTAGCAAAGGAAGTGGCACCAAAGTTGGAAGAATACCGAGCCGTCCTTTGAGTCGGAAAACTAGAGCTTCATGTTGAAAAGTGACGGTAGGAGCAACGGAAACAGCTATTAGCAATGGACAAGTGGAGGCAGTTTGAGCAAAAATACATGGACAAGAAACCTCTTTTAGTATCAACCGTAGTCAATGGAACTATAACTTCATAAGCTTTGGTTGATTCAGGATGCTTGTTCATGAAATTCTCTCAGACCGTTTTATTCGTTGCCATCAACTTTTTTGCGTTCAGATTGAGTTCAGGCATTTACAGTCAATGAATAGAGTGTTAGAGGACGAAGTTTTGAGGGTTAATTCATTCGACTTTGATATCGGAGGGCATCAACAGCAACGAGCTTAATTTTTAAGTAGTCGCAATTATCGAGGGTTACGATATGATATTTGGGAGATCATGACTTTGGCAAGAACGACTCTTGCTTGACGCCTCAAAAGCATGTTTGATATTTCAAGATTCAGGTCTGGAAGTCTATAGCGAGTCTAAAGAGAACCCTTACGATCACAAGCTGGTTACCGCAAACACATTCAACTTTCTCACGGCTCAAAATAAGATGCTACAGGGTTTTATGTCTAGTCTTATAGATTTCAACAAAGCATTGGTCCAAAAGAAGTACACGGATCCGCAAACAAAGCTGCTTGGTTGGACTAGCCCGAAACTATATCCAATATTCAATAGGAGACATGCAAACAAATTACCGCCACACCGAGAAGGAGTTGACCACGGTATCAAGCTCTTACAGACGGCAAACGGGTGAGAAGAGACTGTTCCCCGGGGGGCCTCTCTATAACATGTCACGGGACGAGCTATTGGTGCTCCGTAAGAGGTTGACAGAGCTATTGGACAAGGAGTTCATTTGAGTAATCAACTCCACGGCAGTAGCCCCAATCCTCTTCATGCAAAAACCAGGAGACGTCTTGCGATTCTGCTGCGATTATAGAGCTTTGAACAAG